GGCTCACGGAGCCCAGTGTAGCCTGGCCAGCAACCCAGGCCGTGTGTGGTCACGGTCCGGGCACCCCGGCAGGGAAGACGATAGGAGCAAGAAGAGGGTTCTGGCACGCGACCCCCACCTGAGGCCCAGACGGGATCTGCCCTGCGCCCTCCCGCCCTCCTGTCCACCACGCGGGGCAGTGTGTTGTAACGGGGAAGCGCAGGGCAGGGCAGAGCAGAGCTGGCCACCCCCGGCGCTGGCACTGCGCTCCCTGGGTCCAGCTCGCCACCAGGCAGGCAGGATGGGGAAGCTGCTGGTGCCGGGTCTCCTCCTGGACTGCACAGACGTGGGTACGGTACGCTCCGGATGTTTGCCGATGGTGCAGCTTTGCACACGGTGGCCGAGGCCTGGCGGTCCCCCGGCCTCCTCTGCCCCTCCCGAGTCCTTCCCGCACGCACTGGGCCCTCGCTGGCCCTGGGGCCTTACAAACCCAGATGAGGGCCGGTCTGCGGGGTGAGCCTGGAGGGTGTCGTCAGCGTGGCAACTGTGCCCAGGTCCCAAGGGGAGCTTCTGTCCAGGCTCTGATATTCCAGAAAGTGCTCGGTGCCTGCCTCAGCGCATCGCTGGGATGAGAGGAAGCACGGGTCACATGACCTGGCGGCATGGCTCCCTGCAGGGTGCTCCCGTGGCCAGCAGGGCTTTCTGCCCAGGCGGGAGGTGTGGGCAGTCCTCCTGTGGCCGTGCCAGGTCTGGGCCGAGCGGGCTGTCCGGAGCAATGCCGAGGACAGCGTGGGGGTCGTGCAGGCCGATCGGGTGGTCTGGGCCGGCTCCGGGGGTGGCCTTGACTTCCAGCGCCCCGCCCTGCAGCCCCTGCCCTGCAGCGTAGATAGTGCCGCTCCTACACCCGGTTGGTCTGCGACTACAAACTGAAGACCTGCACAGTGGAGGGAGGTGGGTTCTGCAAGATCCGAAGGGTCTTCTACTACCCGTACACTGGTGAGTGCGCGGGGGACACAGGGACACGGGGACACGGGGCCTGGGCAGAGGGGCCTGTCGGCTCAGGGCTGAGCCTCGCGATGGGGTCTGGGGTCGCCTGACTAGAGCATGCAGACGTAAGGGGAGGTTGCAGGGGCGGGCTGTTCTCCACCCCATGCTGGCCCCTTCCCGAGGTCCCAGGGCCCTGCCGTTGCGGCTCCAAGCCTGAGTCTCGCAGGGTTCCCCACTCCCCATCCCGGCGTCTGTCCGGCTGAGTCACGTGCCCTGAGGGCCTCCTCTGACCTTCACTTCGACACGACCCGGTCCTAGCAGCCCCCGACCATCCTGGCCCCCGTCACCATGCTCCAACAGCTGTCACTGCCTGAGACCTGCTCTCCAGGCAGGTCCTGTGCTCCCCAGAGCCTGAGCCCGGCCGCTTCCCAGCATGGGCTTGTGCCTGTCTGCCCGAGGGAAGGGGCTGTCGCTGTGTGGGCACCGCAGCCCCGAGCCTGCCGTCAGCTGTGTATGTCCCCTGGGAGAAGGAACTTGCCAGGCGTGGCCCGGGCAGGTGGCAGGACTGCCAGTCTGGGCTGCATCTGCTGGAGCACTGCCTTGCAAGGCTCAGCTCCCTGGCTCTCAGACGGGAGGCAAACAGGGTGTCTGCCTGTCTTCCTCAGAGACCAGCTGTGTGCAAGACTGCGAGAACGACCTGGACCTGTCTGGCCCTAAGGCCGTGTCCACGTACTGCAGTGACCACGTGGACTTCCGCCACGACTTCGCGGTCCTGCCCGACGACCTGGACTGATTCACAGGGTACTGCACGTGCCCTCCCACCCTCCTCCCTCCTCCGGACAGCAGGTGGCGGTCAAAGCGGCTGGATCCCACAGGGGTCAGGCCCTGGACCCAGCAGTTTGAAAATCGTGGTGGGCGTGTGTGCATGCCCAAAGTTCTGAGAGGAGAATGGAGAAGGGATTGCAGGGTAGCTGTCCTCCCTGGGGGGAGCTCTCTTTCTCTTTCTCTCTCTCTCCTCGCAGCAGGCATACACGCCTTATTGTAAAACAGAGAAACAAACACCTTGCAGGAGCTGTGGGATGCGGGCAGACGCCCGGCCCGTGGCGTTGCGATGACCACGCAGCCCGTCCTACTGTTAAGAGCTCCCTGACCGGCATGAGCACATGGGTTCTCCGTGTCTGTCAGTGACATCCGTGCTGAAAAGGGAATGCTAGCCCAGAGGTGTGGACACAAGGCCCGGCTCGGAAGGCGGCGGGGAGGAGGGGCACAATGAAATGGGAGGTTCTGCAGGGCTGACCCACGAGGGACGGAGACCTCCCCGAGGGGGCTGTCACATCACCGAGACCCTGGCAAGGTGCTGTCTCTCTGTCTGTCTTACTCACAGAGAAAATAATTAAATGTTTCTAAAAGTAGGAAACATTGCCCTCCGCTCTGGACTGAGGCCCCCCGAGCCGCAAAGCTGCAGATGTCCTGGGCCAGCAGGTGGTGTGGGGGCGTGGCAGCTGGGTCCGATGGGCAGGAGAACTTGGCTACCTGACACGCACGTGCCATCCCGCCGCTCCAATGCCAGAGAGGTGCCAGGGGACGTGAGGGCAGAGGCGGGGAGAGCTCACACCTCTCAGCTGGGTTAGGACCGCGAAGGCTTCAGCCTCACCCACAGTGGCTGAGAATGGTGACAACCCCCGTGCCCCACGACAGTGACGGGGCAACGACGTGGTTTGTACACACGGGGGCGCACCAGTTAGTCACCAAGGGGACGCACGCCTGTCACTTGAGGCAGAAGGGATGAACCCAAAAGAGAGCTACCTGAAAGACGCCAGGCTTGGGGACGGGTCCCGCGTCCTCACTGAGCAAACCCTGGCATCCTCACTCCTCAGCAGGAGCCAAGCCCGATAGCCACGCAGAGTGAGGGCGGGCACTGGAGCCTGGAGCAGGAACCTGGCCAGACTCCGGGTCCAGGGCGCAGGCGGGAGGGTGGTGGGACCCGGGTCCAGGGCGCAAGCAGGCAGGTGACAGGACACGTGGAGCCCACGAGAAGACCGCCGGGGACAACTTACATCCATGTCCATGTTCCCGGAGAGGGAGTGCCAGTGGACAACCAGGGCGCTGACGATGCCTGCCCTTCCACGTGCTGTGCTGTGAGGTTTTTAGAACCCACACTGGTCTCTGGAGACAGGCGACTGACACGTAAACTGGAAATCACACTGAGATCGTTTGGAAAAGCCCGCACCCAGAATTTCTCTCCCGGTTGATGAGAAAGAGCAAACGCAGAGAGCTGAATATGCTCCATGGCCTCCGGGCTGGTGGCCATGCCCACTGTGGCCACAGGCAGTGGCTGCTGTCCACAAAGCTGAGGCGCTGTTGAGGCCTTCAGGGCCAGTGAGAGAAAATGGTGGGATCTGAACTCAGGAACTGCTCACATCACATCTGCCTGCCTGCCACAGGACGGAGGGGCCCTGGACTGCCAGGCCCCGGTTAGGGCTCCAGGCCACCAGGGCCTAAAGGGATTCAAGGCCCTGGACTTTGGAGGGAGGAGGTAGCGGGAACTCGGTCCGACCCCGCTCTTC